CGCTCTGCGTCGCGCCAAAATCACAGAGGGTGAGCGTGTAGTGCTGGCACTACACGGCAGGTTTCTGTGTACAAACCTTGGCAGGCGTATTTCAAAAGGAAACATGGCCACCCCACAGCTTAAACCCTACTGTGGCTGAAGCTGTGAGGTGACGTTTGTTTGTCAAATACTTGCCACGGGCGAAGCTGTGAGGTGGCCATGTTTGCTTGTCAAAAATGCCCCTGCCAGGGTTTACGCTGTGTAGTGGCCATGTTGCGCCTGCCAGCGTTTAAGCTGTCCAGGTTAAGCTCTGAGGTGGCCATGTTTGTTTGTCAAGTACCGCAGTTGTCAGGGTTTAAGTTGTGAGGTGGCCATGTTTGTTTGCAATATTTGCCACAGGTTGAGATGTGTGGTTGTTTACTTCTGAAATGCTGCGCTTGCACGGGTTTAAGCTGTGATGTGGCCATGTTTGCTTCTGAAATATTGTGCCTGCGATGGGGTTGTTAGCTGCCAAAGTACTGCGCCTGCTGCGGGCTTAAGCTTTTGAAATATTGGGCCTGCGGCTTTAAGAGATCTGTTGAGCAGCATTGCCGCCGGGGGTGTGGGGGTTCTGCGCTGCCCGCGCAAAAACTATCGGGAGAAAAAATGCAGGATCACATGGAGGTGAGGCCATGGCTCAGTTGGTATAGCGTTGGTCTTGCCAGCGCTGACAGACTGCCGGTGGTGGTTCGAATCCCTGCTGGTCCACTCGGGAGTCTCAAGTGCGACCCGCCGAAAGGCAACGGGCGCGGACCACAAAAAAGAGGTGAGGCCATGGCGGCCACATGGTATGTTCTTTATTTCGCAAGAGAGACGGAACATATCGAGGGACGAAAATCTGCATGTGCTTTGAAGTTAAGGTCCCACACGGGGCATGTGTCCTCATTTTGGACTGCAGGCTTGCATGAAAGCAATGGATATCTTGGCTGGTGATCATCGCCAGCGTTTTTTGGTTTCAGATCATTCAGTCTTGACGTGTTTTATATAGATTCGAGTCCCCGTGAGCCTCGCTTTGCTGGCGAAAGCCAAGAGGCGTTGGACGGAAAAAAAAAAGCCAGTCGTTTGCGCATGTCGGTGGTGGAGTTCTGTTGATGGTTGAGTGGTTCAGTGGTTGTGTTCTGAGTAGTAAAGCGTCTACTTGGCTTCAAATCAGTAATATGAAAGACTGGTTCCCTTCCAGTCGAAGCTGCTGAAGAACTTGGAGGTGTGCTGCACGTATAACACCTTCACTGACTTCTCTGGGATCCATAGGTCATCATGTAGCTTAAGAACAGCAGAGCATTGTGCAAGCCGGGTGAATGCTCGATAAAAGCTGATCATGACAATTTCCTTAGACCATTCGAGCGACCGAAAGGCCGCCACCTTTATCTGCCGGGTCATAGAGGGATCGATATTCTGGACATGGAAGCCCAATGAAAGTGCAGTGCAGGCGGTTTCAGCACCTGCATTCATTGCGATGAGGGGGTGCCTTTTTGATTGTTTTTTCCTTCAGGTGACTCGGGAGTAGGTGCAGGAGATCGTTCACGGAGATCTTGAATGGTGGCAATTCATAATCCTTCGTTGGTCGTCGCAGGATTTCATAGAAAGCCCCAGACAAGTCGACTTCTTAACCTTTGTCGACTTCTGCAACTGTTTCTTCCAAGGTGCTCATGGCAGCTCTAACACGTTTGTCAAAAACACCGCTCTCCTTTGCCCAGCCTGTCAAACCTGCAATGATCTCGTCAACAATCTTTGCATCGTTGTGCTACAAGCTGACAAGTATGTGTTTCAGGAGAGAAGTTTCTTGCGACAGAGTATCTTCTTCACGTGTTCAGGAAGACCGTCATGCAGCTTGGCTTCTTCTTTTCGAAGTTCAGCATGCCCCACTTCAAAGTCTTGTCACATTGTCCATGACGCAGATCTTACTACTTTTTGAGCAACCTCTTTTGGTTGAATTTTATTAATGATGCCATTCACGACTTCTTTCTGTCCGGTGTGCAAATTTTGGGGAGGATACAAAGGACCGTCCACAACCGCACATTTGGACACCAAAGATTTGTTTCCCGCCTTGAGATTGCAGAAACTTCCTTTAAATGCGATGGAAGTCAACGAAGAGTCTCCAGAATCATGACCCTGCCTCTATTTTACAAGACATCCAATTTCTACCAACATCTGCAAGTATCTGAACGAGAATGCAACTGTGGCTATGAAGGAAAATTTCACGACACCCACGATCAACTACAGGGAGGTCAATCTGGACAGTGGTACCTCCCGCCCACCATTTTCTACTCAACAGATTTATGCTCATTGTGACATCTTGGATCCGGAGTGGACCTAGAGTCCATGGTATGCAACTTGCTTCTAGTATCAAAAGATCTGGAAATTTGTGAACTCTTTGTGAAAAAGGTTCACTCAAATCGGAACTGAAGCAGTGCATGAGCTTGCTGTTTACCAGCTTCTTGCCATTGCCCGTCGTCAGCCTGGACAGATTTCCGGGCAAGAGCTCATCTCCACAGCTGCTGCACACGTGTGATCAGAGTTTTGAAAAGGTTTTCGCTGCTATCCGATCCGCTCATGGTCGCCCGGTTCACCCAACATGGCCCTAGCTGTCATTATCTTCCAGATTTTTTTCCCCTCGAGGCGCCATGTTAGTTTAGCTCCGGTCGCTGAGTGAGTCTCACACGCGGGCTAGCAGGGAACCGAGTCACCAGCACCACCGGCAGTCTGTCAGCGCCAGGACTGGCGCCGCGCAATCGAGCTACGAGGACAACTGCCATCAGTATCTTCCAGCTGTCCTGGTAGCAAAACTCCCTACGTTGAGACAAACTATCTAACAATGCATCAATTGGCATTGCCTGTGCGGTTCTTTCTCTGGCTTGGTGCTTGTCGTCGTCATCATCATCATCATCACCATCATCATCATCATCATCGTCACCATCATCATCATCATCATCATCATCACCATCATCCTTATCATCATCATCATCATCATCATCATCATCACCCTCACCATCATCATCAACATGAACATCATCATCATCATCGTCATCATCATCATCATCATTTTTCATCCCCTACATCATCTTCATCTTCCTCCTTCTCTACATTACCAGCCTCCACCGTCCCATCCTCCACTTCATCTTCCGCATCATCATCCTCAACATACCTCAACATCATTGTCCCCTACATCATTATCATCATCATAATCATCATCATCTTCTCATCCTCAACATCATCATCCTCAACATCACCATCCTTAACAGCATTATCCTCTACATCAACATCATCATCATCATCATCATCATCATCATCATCCTCATCCTCATCCTCATCTCCTCCTCCTCCTCCTCATCATCATCATCATCATCATCACCACTGCCTTTGACCATCACCATCACCATCACCACCATCATCATCATCATCGTCATCATCATCATCATCATCATCATCCTTCTCCACATCGTGATCCTTCACTTTATCGTCCTCCACTTCGTCTTCCGGATCATCATCATCATCATCATCATCATCCTCCTCAACATCATCATCCTCACCCTCATCGTCCTCAACACCATCATCCTCCACATCATCCTCCTGCACCTTCATCCTCAATATCATCATCCTCAACATCATCGTCCGCAACATCATCAACATCATCATCATCATCATCCTCATCATCTGCACCATCATCATCATCATCATCATCATCATTATCCTCAACATTGTCCTGGTCTCTTGCCGGGATTATTTTTTAAAACAATGTTTCCCTCCCGTCGGGCAAGATAATTCCTGTATGAAATGGAACTGGCTATGCCCGAAACTAGGGATGCCCCAAAATCAAATTGTTTTGTAAATCTTGTTCCCTTGTTTGTAAATGGCGTATCGCCCCCGTCATGTATATCCCCTACTTTAGTCCACATTTTTGCTGGTCATATCCTCACATGTGTCGCTTAAATTCCAATGTTGATGATTTTGTCATGGTTGAATCCTTTTTTTGGTCCCTTACATCCCGATTTCGCAAACAAACGGGACAGGGTCAAACAGATCGAGGAAAAAAAATGGAAAAACCGCAGAGTGATCACTTGAGTTATTTTGAGTTTCCTGCTGTCGCTTTGCAGAGGAGTATCCCATTGCATGTTGGAGCAAACACATTTGCATAGATCCATTTGACGTTGGCATGAACCGTGTTTGTGATGTGTTGGCCTCCCTTACCGAAAGTTTGGTCCTAGCATCAATTTGAAACCATTCTACACACTATTGGCCGGGTGTGGGGCGCACTCTGCGAGGGCCTTTGTCCATTGCTACTTGGGGTTTCTGGCCAACCTACTGGATGCTTAGTAATGCTTAGTGCATGAGAACGAGTCGATGCGCTAAGGTGCTCGTTGGGTTCAAAGTACCTGTATGGGCAACGTGTTGCATCTAGACACCTTTCTCAATGGTCCATTCCATGCACGAGTGGGGGGTAGGGGACGCCATCGAGGTCACGAGCTGTGGTTTAGTTCCGTTGAACAACAATCCGTTTCCCCTACGGATGGATATTTACTGAATTCGAACATCAAACGTTTTCAATGCCAAAAAAATTGTACACTTTAGAACATCAACAAAAATCCAAAATTGATGTTCTAAGAGCACGCCTAGAAGTTCATTTGGACTGGATTTGCTGGTGTGTGTATGCGAACAAAAATGCCAGGTTATTTTTTTTGAAATGAACGCGTCATAATGCGTCCATGTGTAAATCAGACTGTTGTGTTTGAGATTTGGTGAAAAAAAAATAGGTAGCCATTGATTTGGTGAGCTGGCGGCCGCTGGCGGTGGCTGGTGTCCTGATGTTTCAAAACGAAGTGACAAATGTGAGACGTGACGATTGTTGCAAGGTGGGGCGTTCAAGTGCAAAGTATTACAAAGTGGCAATCCATGAAAAACACAATTGGATGTGCGTGAAATTTCCATTCTTTGCTATTTTGCTTTGTGTTTTTGGTTCAAAAAAAATCAAGAGTCTGGAGGGATGGGGTCACTGCGCCCGGGTGGCGTATGCTGGTGCGACCTTCTTTCTGAGACCCAGCTCTGTCCAGTTTGAAAATTCAGTGAAGTTCCTTGGTTGGAAAAGGCGCGAACCAAAGGTGGATTGGGATGAACATTTTTGGCCGAAATTGCTGCGATATTTACAACTGAAACATGTTGTATTGTTCGAACAGTGCCATTTGGCAAGATTGTAGAGTGATTCGTTAAATGTTGTGAACAAGTCAACGGTGGTCTTGGGGACCCCACACAAGAGAATTGTTGGGAAAAAATATGAAACCGTATGGGTCAAATTTGTTCATTTCCTTCCCCCTGAGTCCGGTGCGATTACCATGTAAATGAAACTTCCTGGCTGTGATCCTGATTTTTTGGTATCTTCACCCTGGTTTTGGGTTGACCCAATTGACCCCATCCAGAATGGTTTCCGCCTCTTTCCACGGGATTGCCCTTAATTGAAAAAATATAGGAAACGGTTGGATTTTTGCCTTCGTCATTTTCCCTGACACTTTGTCCCGCACTGGTAGGCGATGATTTTTCATGCCTGCGCCTCAAATTGCCTGAAAGTTTGGTTCCTGTTGAGAACTTAACCACTGATGGGCAAAACTATCCCCAACTGCTTGAAAAACAAAAATCCTAGCTGCGGCCTAAGAATACACAATAGACATCCAGATGGGAACTGAAAAGGAGCAGATCCATCACCAGACCAAAGGGTGTTTGAGGGGAAAGGGATGATCCAATGTAAAGCATCAAAATTTCAGCAGTTGAAACGCCAAACGTTGACATTTTTGCGATGTTGAACCGGTTGAAGCATGCCGAATTTCGAACATTTCGAGCCATCGGATTCCAGAGCCAATTTGAAGTGCCTCCCACTTCTGGTCAAGTCTTGGTGGCTACGTATGCAACGTTTTGTGGTTAAGATGGCCAACGATAAACGATGCAACGATGCCCAATTCCACAGACCACACCCGGATTGGGAGTTGCGCCATCAGGTTGACACTAGTAGATCTGATTTTGCGCAGACTTGAAAACACAAATCATGTAGGTTGCGGCGGTTGCGGACCCAAAGCGGCTGAGGTGTTTCTCATCCCGGCTTTAGTGGATGCTGCTGAAAAAGGCATATGCGCAGACATCATAAGGCCATGGAAAGGACTGCTCGTGTTGACTTGTGATGCTCCCGGGTCCCAGGGTTCTGTTGTGTTGTCAAAGGTTTGATATCGCATTCGTTATTGCTGAAACTCACATATCGGTTGGATACCCTCATGGTTGTCCAAGTTGAGTTCCAATATCTCTTGATGCTGTTGATGCTGTCCGAAGTGCCTCTGAACAGCGTGCTATGCCGACACAGCCCATCGAAACAAACATGCACCCCATTGCTAGTCCATTGTTCAGCAACATCTACCCAGAACCAATGCTTTTGTGAATAGGGCACCATATTTTCAGACATTGGGAGTGTGAATCATGGGAATAAAGTCCAATTTATGGCCATGAGAACATGATGAAATGATTGAAATGATGGTGAGTTATGGTGAGTTTATGATATTTATATAATTTTATATATGGTTAGTTATGGTGAGCTTATGATATTTATGGTTTTCAACAAAGAAAAAGTAGTTTCACTATGTTTCAATGATGGAGGCCTTAGTGGCAGACTTCGACGGCAGCCTGGAGAGCTTCGAGTCCGAAGAACAGCGATGGCATCTCTGGGAGAAAGCAGAGACCCCGGCGCCTCGACGGACTCGACGACGTCAAGAAATGGAGGTTTCCGTCATGACGGGGTACCCTCTGGTAAACATACAAAAAACTATGGAAAATCACAATTTTTAATGGGAAAATCCACTATAAATGGCCATTTTCAATAGCTATGTTAGTTTACCAGAGGGTACCCCCAAATCCATCCTTTTTTTGAGGGAGAAACTCCATAAACCATCCAGCTATTGGGCAGGAAGACCCCAAATGTGTAACTGGATGTTTGGATACTGGTTTTCATGTGGCACATGTGGGCTTCCGCATCTTCATCTCCATTTTTGGCAAACTTTGCAAACTGGCCATGGATATTGAACTTGTACTGGACGAGAAACCATACATGTGGAGCCTAGAAAGACCCAAAGTGCAACCAATGGGATGTGACAGCTTTGGATTACCAGCCAAACATGCAGCTATTACTGGGTGGTACGATATTTCAAAAGGATTCTACCACCTTGCAGATAGAAGCAACAGAGATTCATGGTATGGTAGTTTCCTGCTATTCCAGCAACAGAAAGAACAAAAACACGGTGATCCAATCAACCATCGTTGTGCTGGGAGTAAAACCTAGTCCCACCACCCCTAAGAAGCCTTGTTACCAGCGCCACACCTGGGCGATACAAAAAAATTCGGTTTGGGGGCAGCAACAGGTGTGTGGATCTGCGGCAAAAATGGCAGGCCATGTGCATATATATATATACATAATTATATATATATACGTCCTAATATATATATATATATATATTATATTATATATATACAATATATTATACATATACAATATATTATATATACATACAATATTATATATGTATATATATATATAATATTTAATATTTAATACATAATATATAATATAAATATAAATATAAATATAAATACTTTTGACATTTGATATATAATATATGATATACAGGATATACCATAGGATACATATACATATATATATATACATACATATATATATATATGTAATATAGGTTTTATATGATATGGGATATGTATATGTACACACATACATGTATTAGGGATTGACATCAGTTCCTTGATGCTATCAAATCCAGCCAGCCGGCCTCACGGCCCATTCCGAGGTTGAAAATAATTCCTACCAAATTGCCTTTGAGAATCTGGGCTATGAATGAGGCTTTCGCACATTGCTTGTGTTATTGTGCTGCTTAGATCTGGAACTTGGGTCTGACCAGGGACAATAAGGATTTTGCAGCAGCATTCCCAGCATTCCGATGTGGGCCCAATGCCCAACGGCTTGGCTTGTTTGGGACTCCTCGTGGGTTGAACACATTTTGGAGATTTTGCGGGTATGAATTTCAATGAATCATTTTTGACACTATCACTATATACATCGTTGTTTGGTTACATCCCCATTCACTTCCAACCTCAATTCTTGTTCCTATCTTCATTGTACGAACATTCATCACTATAACCTCATCCTTTGTGCAGGGCAGGGACCCACGGTCAAAAACTAAGACACTCAGGACCCATGACTTTGTCATTTTTGAATATTCATGTTACATTGCCCTCCCTCTATTGATATCTTCATGACATAAATTGCACCCTTAGAAACCCTGGTGCAATGCAGTGCACATATTCTTTTCACGGTTCCAATCTTCAGGGTCGGATTGGGGGTGGTCATTTTTTTCTACTGTGTTTGCCATAATCCATCGGCCAGATTTTCAGGCTCTTTTTAAATAACCACCCATTAAAGCCAAGCATCCATCCATTTTATGAAGCATTTATCCATCCATTTGAATATAACAATCCGTTCTTGGGTAATCTTGGGTCCCAATGACTTGACAACCAGTCCTCCAGCCTTGAGGATGGATGGACAATTGATGTGTTGGCAGAGGCTGAGTCGCAGCCGGAGCAGTTTTTTGCGACCACAGGGAGGGGATTTGACCAACGGAAAAAGGGGAATTTTATTGACAAATTTTCCATGCATGGGGGTTTAACAAGTAAACACATTCAATAAACTGATAAAGGTTGGACCAACAAGAATGGAGAGTTCCCAAGCAAACATGAGGGTTTACCGTGTAAAACATGTGGTAATTTTGTTTTTCAATAATCCATGGATATCAGGGATCATGGAGGATTACGGTAACCAATCAGTTAACCAACCCATCCTCAACTATCATTGAATTATCTCTACAAAGTGAGATGGATCATTGTTCATATATCGTACCTTATAGTCCTTATAATTCGAATTGGTCCCAATTGGGGCACCAACACTGATCATGTATCATTTCGCCCGCCAACAGCGGGTTGATGAGTAGTCCGGACCTAAATTGCAATCATCCCCGAATTACACCAAAGATTGGGTAATTCCCAGCTATCTTTCATTGTGTTGGATGAAGGAAAGACTTGCAGGAAAGCCTGTTTTCCCTGTGTAACTTCCATGACCCCGAATGCAGGGAATCTTGTGATCCTCTGGGTTTGGCGCCACGAGCCAGGGAGACAGATGGTTGCAGACAATTCTCTGGTGATTGTGAAGTGATGTACTGTGAGCCGAAGTACTGCTGCTTGGTGGAATATGGGTTCTATGGTTGTGTTGGCGCCATACCACGTAGGATAATCAGGATGTCCCCACTGAAAATTGTGTGGGAGACGAACCGTCTCAACAAATGCGGGATCTGCAATATCAAAGAGTCAAAGCGGGGAGTTCGGAACAAAAAGTGACCTTCGTGGTAAACGTCTCAACACCGGAATGGATTTCACCAATGTTGCCAGGTCCGTGTGGATGGCATCGTAGATGTCACAGGACTTTGTGAGTTGTGTTTGTTTTGCCGTTTGATTAACATGAGATAGTGATTGATAGTGAGAATGATAGTGATATAGATAATGATATAGTTCCCTACATTGTGTGGGCTTCGTGTTTTTGGCCTTCTGCACTCCGTCTGCTCCTCCTCCTCCGCCTCCGCCGCTGCTCCTCTGTGACACACCAAATTGTGACACACACGCACACAACTCTGTCCCACATAACATTGTCACACACACAAACACACGTTGTCGCACACAACACTGTGTCAAGCATAGCTCTTGGTGGTATTCGCTACGCACTTGTGTGGCAGTTGGTAAGAAGTTGACATGTGGGGTGATCCGGTGGCGGAGACCCGCGAATCATAGGGGATATGACGAACAAAGATGTGTACACAGGAACATTAGAATGTATTTGCCACATCCCATTCAGGGACGATGTCAGCGTCCCAAGGCGACTGTATGATTGTGCAAATCAAGCGCTGTGGCGACCACATGGATCTCTTCACAGAAGCTGACTGGGTGGCTGGTCTTCCAGGCTTTCCCATGTCGAACATTGTTAGAGAATCTTCCAGATTCCGATGAATATTGATGAATCAACAAGTATTCAAGGATATTTTGGCTCACATGGATCGTAAATCCTCAAGATATCCGCCCTAAGAAAGACAATTGTCGGAAGACCTTGTTTGATGCCAGAGTCTCCTTGCTTGAAAGGTTTATTTCATAGAGTCTCCACATTTCCTTTTTTTTGGGCTTGAAACATTACCTTTCAGGTGTCAAATTGTGGCATTGTCATTTCATGTTAGGCAATGTTAGGGTTATGTAATCCGCACGAATGGCTACAACTACGCTTATACAAGCCCTGTTAGTTCCTATTAACATTATTCACATTTATTAACCCCCTTCAGTTCAGCATAGTTCCTATTGGTTCAACCCTGGAGGCTTCACGCCCGGCTGAGGACAAAGATCCCACCGCATCCGGCAAGTTGAGCACAGAGTACTGGCGTGGCATCCGATGCTCACCGGGATGGTCAGTGAATGTCAGTGAACCCAGGAAATCCCCGGAATTGCGAAAAAAACATGTGGGAGATCCGGGAGATCATATAGGAAATATAGGAAATAACTGGGGATAACTAGGGATAACAAATTTGAAACAAATCCCCAAAAGTTGGGCTTCATGAAGTATGAACAAGCCGCCAAGCCGCTGCAAGCCCCTGGTTTCAGGCCTAGTAGCTCAAGGATGTTGAAAATCAACAAATCAACCTCACCTGGGAGACTGATGTTTGAATCTGTCCCAGCAGCTCACATGACACAAATTGATATGATCAACCAATATCAACCCCGGATTAAGAACCCCGTAGTTTATTAACTGGAGGGGTATCATTTATAAAGGGAAATACTACTGTTTTGGGAACCCCCTAATTTGGGGGTTTGTGATCCGGGGTTAACATTACTAAAAACGCCTGTTTCCATTGCAGCTAATATTGAATTCTTGAATTGATTGATGATTGAACAACATGGGAAACGTCATATTTGCGGGTTAAATGCGGTACCACTGGTTGTTTTTAACCTAGAGCCTAGAACCGATGGTCGTAAGATGGGCAACAAGTCATGCACCTAAATTTGATCACCCTACCTGCAAGGACATGTTTTTTGATTCAATGGGACCATTGATGTCAGGTTCACAAACTCGTCTTTGGCGTTTTTTTCTCAAACTTTTCTTGTCGATTCCAATCTTTCCCGAACTGGCTGCACTGTTTCTGCCGCAGAAAAATCCAGTTTGTGGCTGCTCAAAATGCATCCCCGACAGCCGAGGAGTGCAGTACTACGACCCCTCCAAGTGGGGTAGCAATGCTACGGTGGATGTTGGCAAAGCGCTTGAGACCACCCTGAGTTGCACCTCGGTCGGAACCACCGGGCATCACCGGGCATCACCCGGCATCACCGGGCACCGGGCACCGGGCTTCGAAGGATGATACCTTTAAAAAGAAGGGAACATTCGGCTTTGGAAATGAGGTATAACTTTTATAACTACGATATACCCAAAATATGGTGAGGAATCTTGTGGCAAACCTTGATGGCTAATGTGGGGTAGCCTTTTTTAAAATCCAGACATGAAACCTACCATTTGCTGAGAGTCCCAGGATTTGGAAGTCCGAATTCTCAGAGGGCCACGTCAGCGATAGATGTTATCAATGGTTATAGGTTACCAGGGAATCAATAGCTATTGTGCATTATTGTGCCATATTTTTTGGGGAACTATCAATTTACAAACTATATAGTTTTTTCGCTTCTCCGGGGGTACAGGGTTCCGACATGTTCCGAGCCATAGCCATATGGGCCCCATACGTACATGACCCAATTTCCGGTTCCATAATTTGCTATAGCAATCTGAAGCCGCACCAGGCTTGACTGAGAATAGTGATGAATGATGCTCCAGAATGGGAATTCCTATTTACCTACTAGTTTCTGCACGCCACACAAGGATTACTGTAATGGGAAGAGGTGGTTATGGTAATAGGAAGTGCAGTCGGTTTGACCTCCCTCTACAGCACAGTAAAGATCAAAGACACCACGCATTCTCAAAGGTATTGTTTTCTAAGATATCACAGTTCTTTTTGTGGGTTCAACGCAATTTTCCGTAGAGTACATCAGAAGTTACATCAGTTGCAACAAGTTGCAACATCCCCAACGAGGCCCAGGTCTTCCAAAAAAAACTTGGCAAAGGTCACTACCCGGTTTGCCGTTTTTGATGCGGAAAAGACGCCCACATTTGAGACAGGTATGGATGAGAGGGGCTGCAGCTGCCACCAAAGTAGTTGGTTCCACTGGTCCTATCCACAGTTCGCTGGCAACCTCGTTTGGTCACCCGCAGGCGGATGGGTATGGACTGGATTTCATGACGGCCATGGCTGTGAGCGATTTGGGTAGTCAAGACTTTTCGGGATCCTCAGAATTGGCTGAAAAGTCATCACCCGAACCCGAAATCGTTGAATAGTCGTTTTCTCAACCTTGGATACATTGAATTACATAATATAATGTGAGGATCCCAGGAACCATCCTGGTCTTTTAGGTGATAAACTCAAAAAACTGAACTGAAGCATTCAAAACGACCGCTTTGGACCGATGATATTTTCGTCCTGAAATGTCTCCACAGTAAAGAAAAGAGGGCTAAAACGCTATTCTCATGGCTTGAGTCCTCACTTTTAGCGGCTACTCTCCGGTAATCAAACGTGGCATTGGAAAATCTCATATTTATAGAATTTTATAGACGTCTTTCCCATGAACCACCTCCATTTAGTTCGGGGATTTCCCAGCCACGAGGCAACGTCACTGAGGAGACCATTGGTCCCTCGGGGCACTCGGGGTCGCGGCTGCAGCAAAACGTTGTGGTGGGGCGGCACAGCTGGGTGACCATCATTTATAGGATGCTTGACCATATCTTGACCATCAAAACTATGGGGATATATGGGGATATAGTTGATAAGTAATGTGATTGACCTCTGTAAAAAATGGCTTTGTGAAGCCATGAAACATGGGAATCCTGCCCTCAACTAACCGGGGAAGGAGTCAACAGTCATCGGACTCTATGGATTTATACTTGAATCATTGGAGGTCACCATTGGAGTAAGAGCTGTTTCAAGGGGAATGCGCTGAGCAGCTGCGGGTTCCTTGTTGATTCTGGTTTGACAGGACATGAATTGGCTGGATGGGAAGGAGAATTTGCATGAAGCTTGAGAACTTTAGTCTGAGTGTGATGTTCTTTCCTTGCAACGGATCACTTCTGCTGGGAGATTCAGGTCACATATTTGCAGCAACAGCCAAGTTGGCAACAGCCAATCCAATCCTGTCTATTTTCGGCGGTCACACTATCATACAAAAACTATCCATCAATAGATCCAAGGGACACTTTGCAGGGAACCATGAATTTAGCCCAAGAAACAGAGATTTCCTAGAATTTTACCCTGAAACCCAATGAACAGTAGGGAGTCGTCACTTGCGAAGGTCAGGGTCTACAACGATGCGGGCCAGGCGGGAGACGACATCTGAAGTTTCCGGAGAATTTGATGAAACCCCGTACTTAGGTTACGGTATCTTAGGTTTATTGAAGTGTAGGTGGGAATTCGCAAAGGGATGACGTTTTGGTCATTTTGAGCCACAACGTATTCAAGTTGGGGTTGACATATATACCGAACTGTGGACAAGTACTTTTTTTGATTGGCACGTAATTTTGGAAACATGCCAGGAACCCATAGAAACCCTGCTTGTCAGGTAAACTCCCAATGTTTTCACTCTTTTGTGGAAGATACGGAGTTAGGTCAAAAACTTCGGTACCACATGCGGATATGGGGATGGTTTAAAGCCAATGGTTTTCCATGTTTTTTGAGGGTTGAGCATCCATACATTCCAGCTATTTTGGTGTGAACTACTACAAGGTACCAGGGTGAACTGAGTCATATCTCGCAGTGAGATCAGGATTTTCTGTCGTTCACGTCCCTTCAATTCCCACTGAAGAACCATTCTGGCCAAACGATTATAAAATATTATGAATACCAAAGAGTGAACTCTTTTTTTGGGCATATTTTTTCCATGCTCAGGCCCCGTTGCCGTGTTGTTGTTGTTGTTGTTGTTGTTGAAGAACGACATCATTTTAGGACATGCCAAAAGCATTGGAGCATTGCCAGGCCAGCAACATGTACTTCATCCCCAAGGATGTGCCGTTGAGTTCGAGGTCCACGACCACAACCACGGCCGAGTCCACGACTGCAACGACCACGACCAGCGTTGCGGAGGAAAGTACCACGGAGGAAGACGATGAAGAGATCGAAGAGGCTAGATGGACCAAAAGCTATGGGAACCAGTTCTTTTCTTTTGCAGAACTTAGAAATACTTCACCGAAAACAGTATTTGACATTTGAACCAACCAGAGGGGGGAGATGCAATACCACCGGAGATAGCAGGTTCCTACTTTCTTAACGGTCCAAATACACCTGTTGATTCATCCCAAAATGGGACTTGCAGAGGATGAGAGGATAAGAGCCGGGACTAGGCCCAGCCATTGCCTTATGGATACCCATCTTCACCCATATTCCACCAGACGACCCGAGCAAACATGGACGGAACATGATACTTTCACCAAGAAATTCGAGGAGATCTGTTTTTCCATTGTGAGGGCTGAGAGATCCTAAGAAATTTGGTAGATAGTCATCACTTTTCTTTCGGCAAGATTCAGTGATTTTGATTGCAACAGCAGCCTCTAGGATGGAGGGTTTCCAAAACGATTATTTTTATGATTTTGATATTCAGATGTGATTTGTGGTTATGATTTCTTTGTGGCCTGTTTTTGCAGTTATGATTTTTAGATGTTTTAGTTATGATTTTGATATGGGTCAAAATTGTGATTTAGATGTGGGTCAAAAATGTGATTTCTGTTTTTTTTTCCCTGCAGCTTTGTAGGGTTTTGTTTGGTTTTTTTTGATCACGTCTTGAACACATATCAGAATTGTATCAGAATCACATCACAATCGCCTCAAAACCGTATCAAAACAATATCAACACTATAAAAACCCTCGAGAAATCGACCCGGGCTGTTTCTGCTTCCTTCTTGAAGCTGACCCATCGGGAACCCTGAAAAAGGCGTTCCGTTTCCAAACCATACCAAAACCATAATCATAACCCAGACCCAAACCATGTTTAAATCATAACAACATCATATCAAAAGCATACCCCCCGAAATTCCAAGCGTATCACAATCATATCTCAACATCCTATCAAAACCATCTTAAAGTCATCAAAACACAATTCCTGAATTTGGTTTCCCAGAGGGATTTTGATTCAGATAGTGATTAACTATGATTATCTAACTTGGGGAACAGAAGGACTCCATGTATTGCACAATTTTCCCCATGACTTCTCGGGCTTGGACTGGTTGATCCCTGGTTGATGCCAAGTGGCTGTGTCCAGATTGAATAGTCTGTTCAGATCTGTTCAGTCTGTTCTCCACTTTCTCTCTTAAATAGCCATTTTGATCCATTTTGGGAGTCATACCATGTAATACCATGTCATACCCCATTTTTACCCATGTTTTTTTTTTACAACATGTCATGTTCATCACATGATCCCTGGCTCCATTCATGACAGATTTTTGGGAGGTCACAACTGAAACTACTGAGACAACTGAGACAGTTTCGACCTCAGAAATTCCGGTCGCGGGGGAAGTGTGTCGACAAAACCATTTGGGCCAATTGTGGCAGCCTGATGAGGACTTCACTTCATGGTGGTTTCCTTGAGGAAATCTCCAAATCACCTCACTCCGTTTCAGTTTGGTGAATCACAATATATAGTTTGTCCATGTTTGTCCATACACATCCAACAAGATCCTCGCTCTCCGTGATGGCAATGAGCCACCTGCTTCGCAGACTACAATCACAATGACCACTACAACGACTACAACGTTTACCACGACAACAACTACCGTGACGATGACTACCACCACAGTTGGCACTCAGATTTTGTCGAGAGTGGTCTGTGCAAGTGGACTTGGGCGTGTCTCAAACATCTAGATGTTTGAATTTTCGAATGTTCGCTTTCAATGATTCAAAATCCGTTCAAACAAGCAGAAACGGTTAGAATGACACATCCCAGCAACATTGAATACGTGCCCCCAAAATGAACAGATCCAAATAATAAACTAGGGTTTCTGATGGGTTTCTGGGGAGTATTCAATATTGGCGGGAAGTGATTCATATGAAAATGCTCACCCTGGTAGGATTCTGCCTTGCAGGTCACCACAACAACAACCACCACTGTGACCACCACCACTGTGACCACCACCACAACCACTGAATACCTGGCACCCGAATACGGTGACGCTGCCTTCCAAAAAGCCAAGGCGTGGACATTGCGGATTTTTCGGATGCCCCCCAAGCCCAGAATTATTAGATAAGCCTCGTCGTCATCTTTCTAGACACTGTGTGCGTAGATCTCTGTCTTGATTCTTTTTTCGGTGAGTATCCCCACTCGTCCTTTGCATTGTCGTCATTTTTCACCGTTACTGACCAGTTTTTTTTTTGCTCTTTTTGATTATTTTGATTACAGATCTACATCACATATTCCAGATTCCAAAAATGTTTGAATTGCAGTTTTACCCCTTTTTTTTGGGAAAAACAATAATGAACCACCCACTTGGGAATGGTTTATGCCACTTATTTATGGTGATTTGGGGGATGGTTTAAATATTATCTGGTTGGTGGTTTCAAACATTTTATATTTTCCATAATATATGGGATAATCCTTCCCATTGACTAATATTTTTCAAGATGGTTAAAACCACCAACCAGTTATTGTTTTACCCACATTATTCCAGATTGCATTCTGATCCGTTGCCCAGATTTTAAAAGTGTCGCGTCAGGAGGCGGGGATGTCCGATGACCAAGCTGCAGAAATCGCTGCCGCTTGGATCATTTGGGTGTCTGAAAATGGTGTAAACCGTTGAACCCCCCCAAGTTATGGGCAAATTATGGTGGGAAATTGGTGGTGAAACATCAAATTCGGTCTACCCAATTTTCAGACCCATTTGTAGAATGGGTATGTTATATATGATTCTTGGATGGGTGGAATCTGACTTGATAGACCATGCGATGGTCATAGACCACACACAGTGAAGTGTAAATCCCCTTCAAGGAATTGATGCAACGTCTTCACTTCGAACGTATGTAGTAGCAACTCCTAACATTCAGAGCATCACTCAAATTCATCAAAGTTTGATCCTTTTGCCAAAGTTAGCTCCGTTTGGGACACCGGGACAATCAAAATTGGATGCATCTCAGTGGTTTCAACCCCATTGGGCGTCCTTCCAACCCACTGGTATCTTGTTGGACACACCACCCATTTCCCACCACCCAAATTTGCCAAAGGTAAAAATTGTATACTAAATTGATGATTCCTGCTCAAGACACCAAGAGATGATGACTCGTGGTTTGTTTCGGGCTGGTGCTTTGGCTTTTTTTGGGATACCACAGTAGTGATACGTAATCCTTGTTCTAAAGGAATCGAAACATCAAGGGCGATATGACCCACAGACATGCGGATGGTACATAGTTCAATCAGATGAACACCCCACCCTGGGAAAATATATGGATCTGTGAACGTTTTGAGATTTTCTATTGGGGCGCTTCCAGGCTTCATTTAGGGCGATTCCTCACGGCCCATGGTCAAACCAGGTCCTGTAAACATCGAAGCCACTCGAACCAGGTCGTATTTGGCCCCCCAACCACCATGATTTTCCACCACCGGCTTTGCTCATTTAACACCGACAGGACACCCATTTCTGCTGCTCAAATCCCATTATTTTATTCAAAAAATCATATTTCTGTCGTTCAAAAACACATCTCCACTACTGAATACTACTGACACTACTGGTCAAATCGAATTTTCTTTTTGTTAAACGATGTTGGATTCCAATGTTCACGAGAACAAAAACACCAAATCCCAGTGTTTTTCAATGGTGGTTTTTCAGGCGCGGGTGGCTGGCCGGGCAGTGCAGCGGGCCCGAGGCGATGCAGATACGTGGCCTCAGCGGCTTTATCCAAGAAGTTTCACCATGTTTCACCAGAAATCTGGAGTTGGACATAGACTGGTTATGTGGTAAGTTATGACTGGTGAATCATGGTGAATCCAAAAGTATTCCATGGATTTCTGGTGAAATTGGATTTCGGCTGAAATCTGGGGCTATGGAAATAGATCTGGGGCTATGTGAACTTATATTTCTGCCAGAGTGAAACAGTGCAGCCTTGGTAGTTTATTACTTGACATCTTTTGTCATCTTGATGGGGATACTTTTGTACTCACCAGCCGGAACAAAAAAAATCTTTCTCCAAAGAGTCTAACTTACTGCAGATTTTGGTTTCAATCACAGAGAAGTGGTTAAATGAGCTGGATTGTCCCATATGTAATGAGGTCATGAGGTCTGGGATTGACATTTTATCTCATTCAATGGGTTGATGACCCAGTTTCCTAATGGCGAGCTTTCATTGCTTGGTAACAACTCGCTTTTCGTTCGCCAACTCCCATTTTTGCCTGGTGAAACCTCTAGTTTTTGTTGGTTGACTCTGATTTCTTCATGGTAAAACAGGTTACCCGCGTGAAATCCACATTTGTCAAGGCAAAAACAGGGGTCACCGTCGGTCATTGTTGCTCCCGAGGTTACGTGACTCGGCGCTTGCAGCCTCCAGAGCAGCCTACGCAGCTGGCCAGGCTTGATGAGGAAAGGGAGGAACAAAAAGTGGGGAGTTCGATTAGCCAACCAGTTTCTTGGGAAATGGGAGCTTTAGAGGAAACCATGGATTTCAGAGGAAACTCTAGAATCCTAATGGAGGTTTCAGCAAGTTTCAAGCGCAATTCTTTCTCTTGAACCATCATGAACCATGAAAGATTCCAGTGAAACATGTAAAAACATGTCAAAACCTGTTTGAAAAACACAGTTTTACATGTTTTTACATGTGTAAAGCTGTTTTTCCATGTTTTTTTTTCCATGGTTACGACCCCTTCGCTGGTTTTCGTATTCCAGGCCGCTGGCATGGACAACTTGGTGGCTGCGGAGACGGCGTGTCTCAGTGGCGGCGAGGTGGCGGCAGAGCTGAAAATGGCCGGATCTTTTGGAAAAACAAAGGTCACCAAGGCACCTGGGCGGACCGGGCGGATTTTCGGTGATTTTCGGTGATTTTGCTGAAGGCAAACGGGGTGAAGATTTTGGTGATTCAAACGTATGGCAATATGTCGAATATGTGACATGGGGGAATTTGTCCTGCGAGCCATGGCTGATGACACCGGAGGGTGCCGGGTACCTTTTTTTTGCGGACATTTTTGGAGTTCGAAGAGGTATGATGAAATTCATGTTGTTTTTTGGAAAGAACACAGAACTTTTTTGATTTTTAGTTTTTTTGATTTGGAAACGGAACATATGATTTATATGAATGATCTTTAAAACCAGACGTTTTTTGATTTATAGAAAGAAAGGGGACAACAGGGAGAAGTTGCAACAATTTTATGATCATTGTGAAACAATGGAGGTAATGGAGATAATCAGACTATACTATAGTTACTATATGAGTTTTAGTTGAAGGACAATGGGGAGAGGACAATGCAAAAAGACACATGTTTTTTTTGATTATGAGCACACTTGGATAAATGGATGAATGGATAAAAGGTGGTCAACAGATAATGGGCATCTTAAATGGGACAGCAAAAAATACGGGATTGCCACAATAAGACTTCTTGTGAAATTTATCGGGATATATTGGGATATTTGGGATATATTGGGATATATTGGGATGTATTGGCATTATATAACTGATAGTTATGGGGGTATGGGATAATGGGGATACCTGGAAAGATATTGTGCAATCATTCGAAATGTTACGGCATACAGTTGGGTACAACAACTTTTGGTGGAGATTCATAGTAACTAAGTTAGGGTATTGTCATTAGAAATGGTGATTTGATAGGCGGCCAACCAACAAACAATCTGAAAAAGGTGGTCAACCAGAAAGGATTGTCGCTGATTTCCTATTTGTGTCCATTTCAAACAGTTAAACTCACTTTGCAACCCATTTCTGGTGCGTAATTGGGGATGGTTTATTCGGCTTACCACAATTTTCGCCAGGCGTGTTGATCATTGAGGGGGGGTTCCTTTTTAGCAGATCATCACTATTTGGGGGGTGTTGGTACCCAATCAATATCAATCAATGAACCATCCCGGACAATCCCAAATCATAGATTCCTTATTCCTGTTTGGAATGGCTTCAAATGATCCCAATTTCCAGTTGCTTACTGGGATGGTTTATAAAGTTTATGGCATTCGGATCATTCGGTTGACCACATCGATGCAAGTCACCGATAAAGTCAAAGAAAGGTTTACGAAATTGTTTCACATTAGTACATGTTTTACCAAAGAACATGTGAATTAGTGTTTCTAATAGTGACACATGAGTGAATTAGTGGAACATCAATATAGAATCAGTAAGCATATTGCCAATGTTTCATAATTGCTTGTTGTCAATCATAGTCAAACATACTGGTAAGCTCACAGTTTGTTGTGGAAAATCATCCATGGGCCATCTGTACTACAGCAAACGCAAACGTTTAAATAACCAGATGGTAAACCCTCAATGTTCCATTCATATTCCATGGAGATTAACTATTAATCTCTACATTCGTATCTCCATTATACCACCGTTTGGGTAGTGACTTGGTAGTGACTTGGTCATGGGCCCCTTCCACCGAGGCAGCTGGCTGGGTAGCGCGGCACGTTGCTGACTTTGTTTTCCGGCTAAAAGGGGAGCAAGTGGAAGCGCTGGGCCAAAGCGCCGAGGGGCATGCGTCGGTGCCGTGGCAGAATCGGAGGAAAATCGTCTGCATCTTTTGATTTGAATTGATGTGCTATGTATTCTATACAATTCAAACCTGAAAACCACCTTTTAGTTCACCTGTTCACCTTTTTCTTCATGGTCCAATCATGGCCGTGGGTGTTTTGAACCAAGCCTTGGGATTGGTTTCGGTTCCAGGTGACCATATTTTCAACATGTTCGTAAGTAACAGTCGTAACAGTCGTAACATGTTCAATCTTTTTCACCAGAACTGGGATGATCCCCGCTTTCGCGAAAAAAATTTTCAGGGGGCCCAGCCATCCTCAGCCATCCCAGGCGCGGTTTGCGGGTCTGGAAGCACAGAAGGAGGCACAGCAGAGCGGAAAGAGCTGGTGGAGGCCGGGGGCAAGCCATTGGAGGATGAATTTTTCTCCATGCGGCAGATGGCAATGGAACACTTTTTTTTGGAACATCCATTCAAACAGCTATTTCGATGTTCACCAGGAATGGGTTTAGACCCATAGCCATATGTTTGAGCTATTGTACATCCAAGCATTTGGGCTGTTTATCCTTACATAAACGGCTGTATATAGATGCGTAATTGATACGCCGGAAATTGGATATGGAATTCAAGGCGTATGCAAATAACACGTAAAAGACCTTTAGGACCCCGTCAGGTTCCAAGTGAATTTTGGAGGGTTTGATTTATCCATTTAGATGCAACTGGCTGGTTGATGGACATGGTTTATTTTTACGCACAAAAGAAGTATGGTTGGTGAACTGGCGGCCAATATTGGACACCTCGCTAGAATGTCGTGACGACTGCGGTAGTGGGAATTGGTCACCCTTGAAGTATATCATAATTTCACGGTTGTTCAGTCACAGGCAACTAGACTCTGAAGCCTTCTTACAACATTTGAGAGCCAAGATTGGATGGCTTTTCCAGATCATCAACAGACTAGTGAAATCATGTATTCCCCATTAACTGTTTATAAAATGGGTGTGTGATTTTCAGACACACCCAGATGTGCCATGGTCAAAACATGGGTTGGTTTCCCATAGGGAGATCAATCCAGTAGCAGGATATTGGATGGATGACAATAACCCCTATATTCCATCTTGACCATGGCACATATCACATTGCCGTCCCATTATATACCCACCATATCACCATTATATCACCACTTGTATCTTCATTATATCTCTGTAATATCCCAATACTTGCTGGTTTTATACCCCCAAACCATATGTTTTTTTGACATCAGCACATCGGCACCGGCTGCAGTGTGGCCATGGCTGCTGCTTCAGCGGCGGAGACAGATGCCTTCACGGCCGGCAAGGCGTGCTCCATGAAACATGCAATGGGCAGTTCCGCTTCATGAGCGGGTACCCTTCGGTGTCATCAAAGATGCTAGCTGGGAAATCCCTATAAAGGAAGGATTGAATGGGAAAAACATGGAACTAAATGGGGGATTTAGCAAGTACTGTTTGATTGCCAGAAGGTATGTGGGGCCATAATTATGGGCTTTGACCACAAAATTGGATACCCAATTTCATCAAACACATTTTGCCATTGAAATAACATTTTCTCATCGCCATTTTGAGGTATCCCTCTTTCCGGACACACTTGGTTGCCTGGAAATCCTTATTTTCAGGCAACATTATTTCTTAACAGATGTAATCATTTTTTGGCAGAGGGTAGATCTCCGTTGAAAATGCAGACACATGCAGATACAAATTAGCGGACACGAATGGGATAGTGATTTGTAGCACCTTTCAGCTTTTCTTCCCTGATGTCTCCCCAAGAACCCACAATTGATGGATTGCGGCGCTGACCACATATGTTGACATAAGATACGACCATGAAGCACCCTTCGAAAACACAGCAAAGGCCGCCCAAAAATCGAGTGTTTTACATCTGAATATGGTAGTAGGTTCTATCTTTACATATGCTACTTAGTCTTTTCTTGAGGCCAAGAATTTTCCTAAACAGATACCTAAAATACCAAAGAGACAGACATACCTAAAATACCTAGGCCCACACAACCATGCTCAGTCCGAGGTATGGTTCTAGGTATTTTGGGCATTTTGGGCATTTCAGGAGTTTTTAAGGTGGGGGAATTGTATTTCCTTTCTTGTAAATTGCATTTTTCATCCCAAGTCAATTTGATTCGCACCTTGCATGGGTACTTGTGATTCATATGAAGTGCTGATCTGCGGCTACTCTTTGCTTTCTGCCTGGTCAATCTTTCAATCTAATCTGCATGCAGATCATCAGTCCGAAGAGTAGGAAACAAACCAAACAAAGGTAAATGCATGCATAACAGAAATGAAATGAATCAACCACAAACATGAACATATAAATTCATCAGGTCCGCGCGTTCTTTTTTTTGGGGGCGCTGAGATTGTAATATATGTATGAATGTATATGTATGTATATACATTGAGGGCCCGCCGTCAAGAATGCGTTTTTCATATGCGGATGCGGCCCCAAAAGCGGGCCTGGTGGCAGCGTCGTTTGAGCACAAACCGACCGACAGCCAAACGCATTCTCCACTACCGAACTGTGAGGAAACCAATTGCAACGGACTATGTTTGGGAAGGCATGTGGCTGGAAGACAAGCAAGGGGTGCGGAACCCCCATGTGGACAAACTGCAAGGATGCAATGCTACCCGAAACTACATCTTCCCTGAACCTCAAGCCCGCATGGAAATAAGGGATTACGCACCTCCGGACGTCGCGCGTCCTGATTGCGTTCCTCAAACCCTGCATGTAAATAAGAGATTAATTACGCACTTTTTCGCGCTTTGGCCGCGCGGGCGGGATGCATGGCGACCAGTGCACGCCACACACTTCTCCCGAGATGCGCGCGAAACAGCTTTCTGACACAAGCGTTGGAAAAGCGGCACGCTGCCAGAGCGCAAGAGGTTAACATAGTTTCTTGCGGCCCCGGAAAGTGGGGCCTCCCTACTGATTCGAAACAGCTTCTGCGCCATGTGCCCTCATAGTATCATGCAGATGTGTGTCCATGTCGGCTTACAGAAGAAAGGCTTGCGCCAGCAGAATAACATAGAAAATGAGTTTAGGTGTTCCCCAAAAGAAAGAACCAGGACAGTTTCAGAAGATGGCGGAAAACCCATGGCCAGGGCCTGAATTTCACCGCAGCGGAAGTGGGCGCCCAAGCTGCGGGCTTGGCTGCAATGGAGGTGCTGCAAACGCTCAAGAGACCCAGGCACAAGATCATTAAGGCGCTGCTGGCGCACTGAAATGAGTGATTTGACGGATTTGAGCATCAAAAAGGCGGATTTAAGCATAAAACATGATTGAGTGTCAAGAATGGAGATTTAATCTGGCAAAATCATGACTTAAACATCACAACCTGGGTTTTAACCACCAGAAATGGGGAATTGATGGTTGATTGATGAGTTGTATGGGGTCATTAACCTGCATAGCACAAAAGGATGACAGAGGGTTTTGAGCTGTGATCAAATGCTGATGAACATCTTGACCTGTTGAACTCCCATTTTTCATGGTTTCTAGGTTCACATGTGATCAGTTTAAATACTTTGCATTTGCAGGTGGCTTAATCCCTTCCTCTGGGTAATGAACACCCTGAAAAAACACATGATATGAATGATCGATTTTGGGTTCCGCATTCTTTCTTCCTGTTGCCGCTAGTAAATATTTATCTACAACTTTTGTTATTGTTACAAGTCCTACCCTGGGTGACATCATCATTTTCTGCTTACTTTTTCTACGATCATTGTTTTTTGTAACCATTTTAATTAAC